CCACCGCCACTCGTCAGGCTCCCACCACCACCGGTTGTCACCCTTTGAAGTCAGGGGAGCGGCGGAGGCGATGGGCTGAGCTCCTCCAGCAGCTGCCGGCTCCCCAGGGCTCTCCCCCGTGGGGACACACATCAAAGTGAGGTGGAGAGAGCAGCCCAAGCTGCTCCCGCAGGCAGCTGAGAGCCCCCACTGCGCGGCACCCACAGCCCCTGTGGGTCTGTTTCCCCCCCCATTTGGCCTCCTCCAGCTTCTGCATTCAGGGCAGGGGTCCCCTTCCCCCAGGGGGTGCTGATTTGCCCCCAGACAGGTGCACCATGGGTGCTCTTGTCGACTCGCACCCGCGGAGGTGAGGACGGGCCGTGGACTGACCGCCTGCCCGCACCGCCAAGGCGGGAGCTCTGCCCTGATCCAGGCAAGATGTGGCTGAAGACAGCTGGCTCCTGCCTGTGCTTTTGGTGAACCTGGACCTACCAACGCCGTGCACGGCCAAACCTGAAATGCACTGGCAGCAGGCGCAGCCATCCTGGACGGAGCTGCTGCCGGAGAGCTGCTCTCCCAGGACATTCCCAGCCGGGATCCCCTCCGCACCCGACAGCTCCACGGTGAAGCCGAGCACCCACCCAGCTTCCAGGAAAGCCGAGCCAAGGGTGAGGAGAGACAACTCTGTAAAACTCTTGCTGTGGCAGCCACGTGGCTGGGCTTGGCCGTACCAAAGCTGAGCACTAAAAGTATCCCAATAGTCTTCTCCAGGGCTGCTTCTTCCAGGCTGGTAAAGCGGAGAAGCCAGAGGCAGGCAGGCAGATTGGCCTTCCTGGAGCCTCTCCTCGCTATTTTTCCCAGCTCCAGTCCCCAGCACACAGACCTGTGCAGGCAACTCCTGGAGCAGGGAGCGACACACAGAGGTTGTTTCATGGAGGAGGAGAAACCTTGGGAGGTTTCCCCTCCTTGCTTCTCACCTCCAGCACTGCGGGAGCAGGAGCAGAGGGCTTTCGGGAGCTCCCCAAGCTCTCTGTTAGGAGCTCTGGCACCTGAACTGAAGCAGTTTTGAATTTCACAGAAGCAAACAGAAGTCATAAACACTGGAGGAAATATTAAACAGCAATTTTAAAAGCCTGGTTACAGCTTCCTCCCCCAGCCTGGATCTGCCACAGAGCGCCCAGTTGCAGATGGGGACTGAGAGCAGGAGCAGGGACAGCTGGGGTGTGAGGGAACGGCTCCTGCCCCAGGAATCGAGGGGCTTCCCACTCCAGCAAACAGCCCCTCAGTGCAGGGCTGGAGCTCTGCCGAGCGCAGATCCGACCGGCTCGACCCCCGGGAGGCTGCCAGGCAAGAGATGACACGACACACGCAGGCTGCGATGGCGGGGAAGGGTTTATTTGTATCAAAGTGCGTATAAATAGTTCTGTCCCTTTTGTAGAGCAGCGAGGACGACGTCCATCTCCAGCGCAGCCTCTGCAGGGGTCCCTGTGTCTCAGCCCCACTGCAGGTTGGGGGGCACCGGCCACCCTCCAGGTGGGGGGGCCTGCAGGGACGGGGGCAGGTCCTGCACTGGTGGCCAGCCTGGGGGGTACTGGAAAGGCGCTGGTTTCTCAGGCAGGGCACTGGGGAGACAGAAGGGGCAGAGGTGTCCCAGTTCAATAGCAGGGTCCTGCTTAGGGGCTGAGCTTCCCTGGGCCCCCCCTGCCAGGCGCAAAAAGAGGGGTCCAGCACAGGGGGAAGTTGGTTATCACAGAATCACAGAATGGCTCGGTTGGAAAAGCCCTCTGAGATCATCACGTCCAACCGTTCCTGTCTACCCCCTAAACCATATCCTTAAGTACCTCATCTACCCTCTCTTTAAACACATCCAGGGATGGTGACTCCACCACCTCCCTGGGCAGCCTGTGCCAGCTTCTGACGACCCTCTCAGTAAAGAACTTCCTCCTTATCTCTGACCTGAACCTCCCTTGGCACAGCTTGGTGCCGTTTCCCCTTGTTGTATCCCCCCTCACCTGGGAGAAGAGACCAGCACCCCCCTCTCCACAACCTCCCTTGAGGCAGTTGGAGGTGGTGATGAGGTCTCCCCTCAGCCTTCTCTTCTCCAGGCTAAACAACCCCAGTTCCCTCAGCCGCTCCTCGTAAGGCTTATCAACAAGGAGGTATATTCACCTCCCTAAAATCCAAGAGCAGAACTGCTGTGTAACCACCCCCAGCCCATTCAAGCGCTTGGCGCTTGCTAACAGTGCAAGTCACTGAAAAATAAGGTGGGAGCACGCAGGTAAGAGGAAAAGGGACAGGCACAGCCCCCAAGAGGGGCAGCAGCACCAGTGCCAGGCACCACCGAAGGCAGGAGAGGTCTGGTGCTGGGCTGGCCCGGTCCCCTCCCACCCCCAGCTGCTCTCCACTCTTCCCACAGCTGAGTTTCGGGAAGAACAAACAAAATTAGCAGATGTCTCCCTCCAAGCGGCCTGAATCCCAAGCCAGCTGTGCACTTCCCAAAGGACAAGGACCCCTCGGAAATGGAGAAACTGCCAAAATGACAGGGTGTTTTCACCCAAGCACCCTTCAGCAGAGGGAACAGGCTTCCTCCTCTAACTCACAGCCTGGGTAACGCTTTTTCTGTTTCTCTCCCTCAGGTTTACTGGTTGAGGCTGCTGCAAACAGCACAACTGACCAAAGAAGCGCAAAAGCAAGAAGCATCGCTCCCTTGCCTCCAGCTGAAGAAAGCGCTTGGCCAGGGCAGGTTTAAATTCATGGGAACCGTACCTTCTCCATTAATTCCTGAGTGCAGGAAACTCATTTGTTCATCAGCGCAAGCCCTGACAGGAGCCTTCCAGCTTCTCAGGCCTCTACCTCTGATCCTGATGAATCTTTTTAATTGTTATGCCAGGAGAAATCTAATCAAACTCCTTTACATAATGCTCCGGAGAAGCAGCACCCTCCTCTCCCTGCAGGGCCAGCGACATGGCCCAAAGCCAGCTACAGAAGTCAAGTGCAGCGTTTTCTAGGCAACTAACACTGAGCAAAGTCATCTGGTCTAACACTGCCCTCCTCGGTGGGGGTTCTTCAGAGCCAAGGATGAGACGAGGCTGCTAGGACACACACCAAGCCCCGTTTGGACAGGGGTATTTTCTGTTCCGTGCAGGCCCTGTCGCTCAGCCGCAGCAGCACAGACATGATGCTGCAAGGTGGAACAGCACAGCCATCAACTAACGACTGCTCTGTGAGCGGCAGAGCTGATCAATAGGGAGGATGCTGTCTGGGTACTCAATTCCCTGGGGTCTCGTAAGATGCAAGTGCTATCAAAGGTTCACCTCCAGCTGGAGTGCTCAGGATGGCTGTCGCAGGCGGGTTCTCCCACAGGGGTCAGGGATATTTCCTTTCTGAAGAAGTTAACGGGACCCCTCTCCTCTATTCACTTCCACGTTCATGAAACCCGTAACGTCTGTATCTCTGGGGCCTCAGAACCCTTTCTGATGGCAATCAGCACGTGGGCTCCACGGAAGTTGTGGCAGATGCACAGACTCACATGCACCAACGGGCTCTGTTTCCTCTGGAAATCAGGCTAAAAATCAATCGCAGCCTGGCAGAGCTCCCTGCTACGAGAACCACACGAACTCCATCCAGCCCCACCTCAGAGCGGCTGCAGGAATGACAGGTGGAGGGCAGCGTGGCAGCTCTCCATCTGCGGGGCTAATTGAGGTGACAGTCAGAAATGGTGCTCAAGTTACTGCCTCTAAGGAAGCGTTACCCTTCAGCCAAGGCAGTACCTGCCCACGCGGCTACATCCAGTCCAGTGCGGCGTTTTCTGTGCACTGCAGAGCACTTGGAGAGCTCGCAAGGCAGCGGCTCTACCTGCGACTGCCTGCCAGGGATCCTGCCAGCAAACGCCCGGCAAGCAGAGACAGAAGTTCAGCTACGCTCGCAGGCTGAGGCTTAGCACAGCGATGTCCTCCCATCGCTCTTTGGGAGCGTGGTGCTTCCAAGGACCTTTTCTATTTCAGCTTGAATCCTTCCTACTCAGTGCTGCCAGAGAAAGAGGTGGAGCTGACTGCCCTTGAGACCACTCTCTCTACTGTTTTGTGCAGACTAATGGTGGTCACTGACATTACCAGGGAGTCCCTGGGCAGGTTATGATCTGAAACCACAAATTCCCCCACGCAGTGTCAGACCCTGCCAGAGACTCTGCCACATTTCAGGGACCTCAAGGACTGCAGGAGGGAGAGGGGGCTCCATGTCCTTAAAAGCATTTTCAGGAGGAACAGGGACTCTCCAGGCACCAGGAGCACAGGGACCTGCCTAAACCAGCCCCTCTTCCCTGGCAATGCCAAACACCTTCTCTGGCAGACAAAGCAAAACACTTGCACAGAAAGGCAAGGTTGGGGAGCACAAAGGGAGAAGAGAAATGATAGGGATGGGCATTGGCAGGGCCAGGTAGGGGAAGAGGAGCTCTGAATAGCTGGTGTTTAATTCCAGCAGAAGATGGGTTCTGCAAAGGCAGAGGCCGGGTAGAAAGCTACAACCCTGTAAATCCTAGGTCCTGTGCATCCTTGGAGGCAGCAGGGACCAAATAGTTATGAAGGTCTGGAAATTACTCTGGGAAGAGCGATGGCTATCTTCTGTAAGAGATGACCTACCCCAAGATGAAGGAATTCGTGAGCAGGACAAGCAAAACGGGTCACGTGAAGCGTACGGGGGCAGGAAGGTTATGGCTGTCAGCAAGCATGACAGCAGGGCTGAGAGCAGCCGAGCTGATGGATGGAGCGAACAGACGCAACAAGCCCAGACGAGCACCAGAAGGAAGATCCTGCCCAGACCAAACACAGGGAGGACAGGAGCAAATAGAGGAAGAACAAAAGAGAGATTTGGCACCTGCCCAAATGTCATCCAATTAAGCCTGCGGCACAGTCAGGTGAGCAAGGAAACAGCAGGCACCGCCAGGCGCCCGAATCCGAATGAATGCTGCGAGGAGCTCGCTCCACCCTCTCGCTGGCATGGACTGGCAGAGAAGCGCAGGCAGGGCAGGCAGAGGGTGGGGAAGCTGTCAACAGATGAGACCAGGCTCCCGCTGCTGAACTCTGGCCATTAGAAACTCGGCACCGTGGTGGCACTGTCCTTCCAGGCACGGCTGTGCGCTGTGCACCCCTCGGCCTGTCCTCCCCGGAGAAGCAGCCATGGGCAGCTCATCCTTGGCCACACGGGGAGATATGTGCACGCATCTCCGCTGCGGGAGTGAGACCAGACCCGTGTCTGCAGCGTGTGCTGAGAGCAGGCGTGCAGCGCTGGCAGGCCGAGTGTTAGACGACAGCTCAGGGGGTCCCATCAAGTGGGACCTCTAATGACCTGCGCTTTCTGTCCCACTCACACCCCTCTCGTGGGATCCAGAGGCAGCAGCCAGCCCTCACACAGATGCTCCTGAGCCCCAGTACCTGTTGCTCTGAGCTGTGCTCAGCCTCTTTGCCCTCTTCTCCAGCCAGTCCTCAATGGTGCCAGTCGGGACATCTGCTCCCTCCTGCCGCAGCTCCTTTGATCTCTTCTCGCCTGGTTGAGAGAGAGAGAGGGCTATCAGACTCACGCTGCAGTCCTTTCACTCCATTAAACTCGCTGCTCATTACCCTGCATAGTTTCATATGGTGGCGAGTTTGCAATTTGCCTGTGGTGTCCTCTCCTCCTCCTCTGCCCACCTCTGCCATCTGATGCTTGGGCTCCTCATTGCTGACAGCTCCAGCCAGCCAAAGCCGGGAACAAGAACTGAGCCAGCGAGCATGGCAGCAGTTTGGGCACTTAACGGAGGGGAGTCTGACATCTCCCCCCAGGGTAGATCGGCCTCATCCTTGCTTGAAGCAGCCTCTGCTGGCCCTGAGCCGTTTCCAAAGACACGTCCCTTCAACTGGCAGGAGGGACTCGGCCATCTCTGCCCATTCGGTGGGAGTGACAGGGACATCTGTCCGGATCGATGCAGACTTGGCAGGCCGCGAGAGGCTGAAAGGTTCAGAGTGCACGTACAGCCAGGAGACGGGACTGCAGAGATGCCGTCAAGTCTGTTTAAGGTGCAGGCTGCGTGATGCATCCCCAGTCCCTGCAGACAGGGTGGGAGGCTGCTGCCCAGCCCTGCTCAGCCTGGGTGCAAAGTCAGAGCAGACCATGGTGAAGGGAGGGGAACACATCTCTGGGTTTTCTCACGCAAGTTAGGAATGAGCAAGGCAGTGCCAGCAGGAAACCTCTGCTGCCTACCAAGAGGCAGGGCGGGCTGAGGTTCTTTCAAGCTTTTAACCTCACCATCACTCCAGGAGGGTTGCAAGGGGCAGCACTGTCCTCTGCAGGCAGAAGGTCACAGAGCCAGGGGGGCAGCCCAGCACTCACCAGTCCCTCCCACTGAGCAGAAATCCACAGCTGCCCAGTTAGCAAAGCTCCCCGGTCCCACCAGTGACAAAGCAGGAAGGGATGCTAGCGGACAACAGTGTTTCGCAGGAGTCCTTGACACGAACAACAGAGTCCCGCTGCTGACAGCGCGTCGGGCAGGGCGGGCTGAGGACACGCTCAGAGCTATCAGATCTTCAGCCTAGTGGAAAGTTCCCACCTAACAGAAAAGGGAACGTGATACTTGAAAAACAAACACTGGTATGAATAAAAGGAAGCTGAGACAGCTGTGTGTCGCACTCCTCTGCCCCGCTCATCAAGCCCTCCGAGGACAAGCGCTCAGGGACAACCCTGATCCCATTTAGAGATCAACCTGCCAGCGGTCCCAGCCCGGCGGCAGCCACCTGCAGCCGTGCCCAGCAGGAGCCTGCTCCACACCTACCTGCCATATGTCACACGTTTAAGGAAAATATTATACGTTTCCAGACAGGGTGTGAAATTAATATTGCTTGGGCAGAGTGAAGGATCACTTCATCCTAGTGGTGGCAACCAATTATTCATCTGCCTGTTGAATATTAATAAGGATGGCAGAAATGTGCTACACAATGAGCAGCCGGAGATGGATAATTTGTCATCCAGCCTTTTCATCTGCTGCTGCTGGGAGGGGCGACGATGTACTTGCTGCCACCAAAGACAGCCTGCTGTGGTCCTGATGTCAAGGTGCTGCTCTGCAGCCTGGCGATAAGGATACGGTTTGAGACGGGACTGTTCACAGCTCCTGCAGCTGCTCCCATGGAGCAAAGCCCCAGCAGAGCCAGCCAGGGTCAAACCACAGCCTGGCCATGTGAAGGCACTGGTGAGGCAAGGGGCTTAGACTGGGAGCTGTGCACTGCTCAGGCTCAGGATATCTGAACTCAGTCCTGGATTAGACTCCTCCAGCAGTGCTGGCCACAGCCACTTTATTTCCCTTTGTTCCAGGTTTCTCCATGCAATGAGTGCCTGGGCACATCCCACCTCAGCAAGGGGACAGGCAGTGGTTGTGAGGCTTTGATGAGGCAGGGAAGAAAGTCACAGTGAAACCTCTCCCACCTCTACCTACCACCAAGATTTCCCTTTGATCCAGCTCTGAGCCCCAGCACAGACAAAAAGCTGCCAAAGCCTATCTGTTGAGAGCAGGGAGCCCCAGAGTTGTCACACGAGGATCTGGTGGGAGCTCAGGAACTCAAGCGGCCACAACCGTCTCGTCCAGAAAAGCTCGCTGGCTGCGGTGGAACGACTCCAGATTCACGCTGGCCTAAATGAGGCCCCAGGTGTCCAGATCAGCAAGACATCCAGCTGGCTGCCTGCTCGCGCAGCTCCGCAAGTTACTGCTCCAAAGCACGGCAACCTCAGGCTGAGAAATGAGGCAGCAGGTACTGTGGGCCTGGCTCTGTCCGCCTTGACACATACCCATCAAAAAGGCAAATCCTTCATCTCCTCTTCCTCTGAAGCACACACGCCCCATCCAGGGACCACCAAGATCACCACGAGTTTGGAACTACAGCCAGAATGTCAACAGCCATTCCAGGGTGCAACTCAAACACAATCTCTAGCCCTTACACCTCATGCACCATCGCGCAGCCAGCCAGACTGCAGCAGCAAGACAGCTGTGAAGGAGCTTCCCCCTCCTTCGCACTGGGGTGCTCGCTTCAAAGTCTAATTACAGCCAATTAGAAGAGCGGCTGTAGTCATGAAGTGCCTCTCTAATGATGCCAGAGCGGGAGTCCAGATTTATCTCCTCTCCCTGTGCAACTTTTACCATGAGTTTTCTTCCTGAATGAGGCACCACTGTATGCGAGACGCAACCACCAGCACTGAGCAGGTCACCCAGCAAAGAGATTTACACGTAATCCTTCAGCTCCCTCCCTGGGCAGGAAGACGTGGCAGCCCAAACTCCTCCAGAGCACGCGAACAGCGGCAGACCGCGGCTGAGAGATGAGGCTGGTGAGGCCTCGCAATACGAGCGGCTTAAGAAGGTACCACCCTGCAGCTGGGAAGCGGCAGCTGACTGCGAGAGCGCTCCTCTTGCTCATCACCAAGTTAAACTGGTTGACTGCAGCCACCCCCAGCAGGGTCACTCCTATTCTTTCAATCACACGGCTGTATTGCAGCCACCCAGCTGTGCCCTTACTCTCCCCTCGCAGCTCTGGCTAGCTGGGGCTCACCAAAGAGGCCGGGCTGTGTCAATAACGACAGCAGAAGTGACGCAGATTAGCGGGGAGCCAATAACTTTAAGCAAGAAGACGGCAATTTGACAGTGACTTTTCCTGACATGACTGTACTTAAAATGACAGCCTGGAAGTGTCTCGCTGATGAATGATGCAGCAGATGCGGAAGGCTAATGCTTTGATGCGGTAACAGCTGGGAATATGCCTCCCTCCCTGCTGAAGGTGGAAACTGTTGCTTCTTGATGAGTATATTCTACGGGGTGCAGAAATGCTGAAGCCAAACTAGGACGCACTCTAAGCTGTTACAGAACAGTGAATCATCCAGAAATTTTGCTACTTAACCCACAAGACGAACACAAACAACAGGGTGAATTCCCTGCATGGAAAAGGGCAAATGTTAAGAACAATGTAATGTTTCTTTTGGCTGTAATAAAAATGCATCATTAGGAAGGGGAGCTCACTGACACAGAGCTACCAACCCCAAGCACTTCACAGAGACTCAGGCACGGGTACGATATCTACATGACAAAGAAAGTGCAATCACGGTTTAGCAGTGTTAAAAAAGGGAAGTCAGAAAGGGCTTTGCTGTGGTTTAGGATGCAAGCTCACCCTTGAATAGGGGTTAGCGGGCTACACCACTTCACTACAGGACTTCTTTGCAGCTTTTTCTGAAGCATCTGCCCCTGGACAAGGGGAAACACAGGTTCAATACAGCCTGACAGCTCCTCTGCTTCTATGCCCGTGCCCCAGAGCTCAGGAAAGTGGAGTCAAGCAGCGCTGTGGACCCACCAAAAGACTTTCACCCCACCAGAGGCAGAGCGTGGCCATCTCCAGCTTGGTCACAAAACAGTGAGAGGGCTCTGGAGCTCCCAGGCTCTCAGATCACCTCAAATCCCTGACCACCCCCAGCTACAGGCCTGTCAAAATCACCTAGGCACTACAGGGTCAGATGGGAAACCTCCGAGGACATCGACAATTCAGCGAGAGGCAGTGTCACCCAGGCCACTGCTCCAACCTGCACCGTATCATCTCACTGGCTGTGGCCTGCGATGCCTCAGCACGGGAACACCGGGGCCAGGTGCTCATGCATACGGGGACATTACTGATGGGTGTCCTACCAAGGATCAGGGCTCTGTGTGACTAATGCAACCTGCAGTCCAACTGCTATCGCACCAGCTCACCTTGAACTCCATCCTCCGCCTCACCATCTGAGACACTGATGCTTCCGGAGTCGGAGGAGTGGTGGACTGTCCCCAGAACACACCGCCTTCCATCCCGTCTACTGTGTTAAGGGCTCCAGCTCTTCCCTTCAGGCTTTCTGTGGGCTCAGCTGATGAGATTTAGAGGTCTAGGTGGTGCTCAGCCTGCTCGCTCAGCTTGCACGGGATTTCCAGGGAGCAACACCACGAGAGAGCTGAGCGGGATTTAACTCTACAACCAGGCATTCGTGTTACAGCAGCACAGCCAAGGACGAGGCACCCTGCTGTCCCCTGGCCATCGCTCCTTGAAGTCTAATTGTTTAATTAAATGTTTGACTTGGTAATACAAATGCAAGGCTTCCAAGTAATCTCCCAGGAATCGGCTCTCTCACTCGCCAATTCTGCACTCACACCTGACCCATTTGACAGAAGTCAATATTCAATAACAAGTGTAATTGGCAAAGAAACCTGCCCAAGCACAGAGGAGCTTGCCAGCTTTCCCCTGCAGCACCGCTCTGCTCCAAAGACCTTCCACCTCCCCTGCAATAACCAGCCTTCGATCATTGGAAACGCTACTACAGGTCCCTGCAAATAGGCTGACATCCTGTGTCGCCTCTCGGGAGCCCTGCACTTGAACCCCGTGGCTGAGGAGGGCTGGGGAGAGGTTTTGGGCTAGCAGCGTGGAAGAGGAGCGTGGCTGCTAGCCCGGCACTGCCGCTTCGAGGAGGGCTGGCTGGAGCGCTCCGTCTCCTGCACAGCCCGACCAGATGGGTTTTATTGACTGCCAGCGTTGTTCAGCGACTGATTCAGAGTCGCCTCAGGGACTCGCAGACTGACTCAGCAACGGCGAGGACTGGAATAGCTCTGTAGTGCCTGCTTTCCTCCTGCTCCCCCAGGTTCACCAGAGCCCTGCCTCCCTGAATCTTATCTCCCGGAAGGCCACGGGAATCTCTGCTCCACGCACCCCCAAAGCTCATATGTATGCGTACACGTACACGCACACTTTCAACACTTGAGCCCATTCTTGCCAGACTATTGGCAAAACAACAGCTGGCTTCAGCTAGCAGTGTGGGCACAAGATCTGCTCCGAAGTTGGGCTGCACTAGGAAGAGCATTGCCAGCAGGGCGAGGAAGTGATCCTTCCTCTCTGTTCTGCTCTGGTGAGGACATGTCCAAGTGCTACGTCCAGTGCCGGGCTCGCCAGTACCACAGGGACAGGGACATACTGGAGGGAGTCCAGCAACGGCAAGAGACAGTGGGCACAAGCTAAAATAAAGGAATTTCCATTCAAATCTAAAAAAAATTAAATACATTTTTATTGCAAATGTGGTCAAACACTGGAACAGGTTGCCCGCACTCAGCTGGACAAGGTCCTGAGCAGCCTGCTCCAGTTTACCCTGTTTTGAGTAAGGTAGGGTTGAAGTCAGACAACCTCCAGCGAGGACCTCAGCCACTCCATGAGTTCTCACCAACACCTCACTCACATTTTCTCTAACTACTGAAGTAATGAATTCAATAGGGAAAACAGAGTTGCCATCCCTTTTTAGGGCAAGGGGGTGGCACTCCCAGAATGGAAAAGTTCAAAAGCGCTCTGGAGACTCACAGCAGGGGAGCAGCTGCCATTCATCCTCTGCCCAAACTTCGGTTCCACTCGAAGCCACGTGAAAAGGGGATGTTTCTGGATTCAGGATCCCACAGCCTCTGCTCAGGATAACCCAATGGACAAGAGGCCAGATCTTTCCAAGAGCAGAAGCAGCAGCTCCCCAGGAATAGTAGGGAGGTGAGGGAAAATCAAATCCATAAATTTAAGGGGAAGTGATGTACCAGTGCCCTCTGCTGCTGACAGATTTTATTCCCTAACTGAACAAAACCCCGAGGGCTCAGAAAGCCCACTCTGCTTCAGATGCTTGCTGCTAAGTGGTATCAGCATTGCTCAACTCTAGGTTTGTGTCTGTACCAGCAGATCAAGCGCAGAAAGCAGCTGAAAAACTGCAGCGCTTACAGCCACACTCCAGGCTCACATGGCATCGAGAGGCAGGCAGGAGGGACGCACACTTGGCTTGCTGTGTACGAGCAGCACGGGACCGCAGGCTCTTGCTGCACAACCCCTCATGTGCCCACAGTCCCTGCAGCAACTTCCCCTCCTCAGAGACCCCTGGACATTTTCTTGTTCGAGGACTCACCTTGAACCTGGGCACTCAGCTTCTCCAGGTCCTGCTCTGTCATGTGGGAAAACCTGCAGTTGGACCCAAAATCACACTGTCCTGGAACAAAAGCCACAGAGCTCCATGAGAGCAGCACACACAAGGTCCTCCCTTGTCAATGTGCATGCAAACCCAAGATCCATCACACTCACACACCAGACACACAGGTCCAAGCCCTTCACTCCCTCCAAGACAAACACACATAGCAGGGCTCTCCAGAACGGCCTTGGGCCAGTTCACAAAGGAGCTGCTGGAGCTCAGGCAGTTATTTCTAGCCCAGAAGACCTCACCTGTTTGCAGAAACTTCCGACACGGTTTCTTGGTTTGCTCCTCTTGCAGGATAGCGGCAGCATCTAGGGGAGATGAAGGATGATACAGGGTACAGATCTCTTGCACAGCAACACCACGGTCCCAAACAGGTCAGGTGCTTAGTGGGAAGCCACTTTACAAGACAATCAGCAACTTAAGCCACAGACTGCCAGTTAACAGTCCCTACTTGCACCCCAGCTTCAGCTTTTCAGGTTTGCAGATATCACCTTCTTTGCTTTCTGCTTCATGCCTTCTCCTCACCCGAGTAGTGAAAAAGAAGCAAGACAGTAAAGCAAGGACCCTGCAGCACTTCGGTGAGGCAGACTCACAGAGGTCTCAGAAAAGCTCTGCACGAGGCCTCACAGAACCCTGTGCCTAGACTCCAGTGGACACCGCTGAAATGATCCTTCGCCTCTTGAAGACATCCTGGGGAAAGTGAGCCCCAAAGCCACAGCAGCTCCCATAGATCACGGAGAACTTGCACTGGCTGATGTCAAGTCACAGAGGATGGAGATAAGAGGAGATGAACCCCTCATCAGGGATGGAATGAGGAACTTTACCAATCAGAGGAAAATCAGAAGATCAACGGTTGTAGCCTGGTGAGAGGAAAAGTGCTAGGTAACCTGCCTCACCATCACTGATCCAGCTAGAACTGGGCTGGGCTGGGGCTGCTGGTCCTCCAACACTTGAGAGCCTTTCCAGCTTCCACGTACAGTTAAGCAGAGAGCAGAGCCACCGAGAGCTCTGCAGTGCTCCTTATCCCACTAGCCAGGAGTCAAACACAGCCTGAGGAACCAGGAGTAAACAGAGGAACATACAGGCGACGGTTTCACAATCAGTGTAACCCAAACTAAGTCTTTGCTACCACAAAAATACATAGTCCTACTCCCTCTCAGAGCCTGGAGACACATTCCCACCATACTCCTCAGGCCGGCACTATGAAACATGTAACTGAGTGGTGAGCCAGGTGAGAGCGCTGAGCTGGGTGAGGAGAGTCCTGTTAAACAGGCAGAGCACACAGGGCTTTCCTCCAGCATGTCCCAACACAGCCTCCAGCCCCAGAATTCCAATTCCTCCTCTGCCAAAACCTCAATGCCCCTCGCCCTCTTCCTCTGCTCGCCCCTGTGGCTAGGTCTGAGCACAGCAGTGCGTCGAGCTGCTTCCCCAGCCCTCTCACCCTTTTGGGATCTCCAGACAAGCGGCTGCATCCTCAGCCTCTCCCACGGCCACCCTCACAGCCAACACCTCCACCCAGTGTGGAAGCTGCTGCCAGCTTCCTGCCCGTTCACACGACGCCTGTGCACAGCCTGCCTGCCTTCCAGCCCGCTTTCTCCACATGCATACCTGTCTCCCTTGCTCCTAACACAGCAGAGACCAACTGTGGTTTGCAGAAGGTACCTAACTCACCTTCAGGAACTGTAACTCACTCTGTTCCTCAGGTCTCCTGTCTCAGATTTGCTCATGATGCCAAGAGAGCTTTATCTGCAGCTCCTGTTCTCAGAAACGACCTCCCTATCTCTTCCACCACATTTCAAGTCCCAGCCGATGTCTACGGTTTCCCCGTCCCACATCCAGACACAGGAGGGTTTTGCCTCTGAGACCGCTTCACAGCAACAGTATCAAATCTGCAATTCACTGGCACAGACAATCTGAATATAAATCATCCACGCTGATTTAGTTTATCTATGCCCGCCGTCCCCTCACACCTCGTCCATCACCTCCCCAGTCCCCGAAAGGGAGCAGCAGACCATTGGTAGTACCCACCTCGGAATAAGTCGTACCAGACTCTCTTAGCCCTGAGATGCTGCACTCCGTTGAGGTGTTTCTTCCTGTTGTGAAGGTTGTCCTGAAAGGACCTGTCACAGTAGTCACAGAAGTATCTTTTCCCCATCTCTCTTCTGGCAGAGCAGCATCAGCGTGGCCTGGGAACCATCAGACAGATCCTCGGCGCCCAGCCTGCCCCGGGGACAGAAGATCCAAGATTTACAGTGCCTGCTTCCAGAGAAGAGGAACTCAAATCATTTACGGTTGGCAGACAGAGGAAGAGGTGAGGCCCAACAGTAAATATTCCTGTCCATCAGGGACTGGCAAGGCAGCATCTGCTGCATATACATGGGTGAGCAAGCTGGGACCTCCACCTCTTACCTCCATCACCCACAGTAACAAGGGCTCTACTGTGAGAATTCTCCTCCTCTGAGGGTGCTGGAGTTCAGCTCACACAAAACAGAGCCCAGAGAGTCCATGGCTTCCAGCCACCATCTGCACCAGGGACAGTGCAGCAGAAACCATCCAATGTGCAAAACTAATGGTCCAGGCCACAGCCTCCACCTGTGGCCCCAGGACGTTAACCACAGACAACCTCCACAAGCTGCCATGCAAGAGGAAGGAGATCGCCCCACGTCCATCTCTGCAGGGTAAGGAAAAAACCCAGGAACTCCTCAAAAACTACAAACCGGCTGATCTCACCGGCACTGCAAGCAGGAAGCTGAACTACAATCACTAAAGGCACAAGATGTTCCGTTCAGGTCACCTACCCACCAATTCACTCCTGTACTCACGGCCCCATCCTCATCCTGCCCAGCCCATGGCAGCAAGAAGGCTCCGCTTTCCCGAGTCCAGCGCTTGCAATAATTAAGATCACAACAGCCTTACAACCAGGAAGAGAGAGCCAGCTTAGTGGCCACAGAAAGCAACCCAGGGATGCCCAGTCCTTCTCCTTCCACAGAGCAGAGAGGGTTACTACACGTGGATGTGTAGTCCAGAGACTCTGCTGTGGAGCACTGAGAAGCAGCAGGACAGAATTTGGGTGCTTTCACGGGCGCTGGGCCCGGAGCAGCCCAGACTCTGGCAGGGCAGACGGGGTTTGTGGTTATGTGCAGCCCGGTCCCCGTCGGCTGTCCTTGCCGCAGGTGCAACACATCCCCTGGAGGAGCTGTGTGTTCTCTCCCGAGTGATGTGAAGGTACCTGATAAATGCCGAAGATGGATGGACTGGGAGATAAACGCCAAAAGCAATTCTCCAGTTTTTGACACCTTGACAGCCAAATGCAGTTAAAAAATGGCATGGAGACTAGTGCAAGAAATAAAGGTTTTATAAATAAAACGGGGTCAGAATCAATCACAGCCTCCTCAGCGATTCCTCAGCAGCAGCAGGAAGAGCAGCAGCAACAGGCGACCCCTCAGAGCCGAGCACAGGCGGCTCCGCTGAGCCCTGCCACCAGCCCCCCGGCCCGGCACCCTGGGGGCAACCACACCACACTCCCTTCCTTCCCGTGCTCCTGAGGACTGCGGCTTCAAAATCCTGTGCCTGGAAACCTCTCAGGCCTCACACCAGTTAAGACCTTGTCTCCTCCATCTGCATCCAGCTGCAGCACATTCAACGGAAAGACCTTTTTTTGAATCGGCTCATGAACCTTCACACTGAAGGTAAAACGTTCCAAGACTCAACTGAACATGAAATCTCTTTGGTTGAGGGTCCTGTCCTTGTCCTCCGGTGAGGGGCCTTGCAGGGCTGCTGAGGAGCCAGCCAGCTCTCCCTGATGTGTTCACAGACGAACTGCAGACACCATCAGCCCTGGCTCCTGCTCGGGCGGTGGAACTCAGCTCTGCAGGGCTCGGGGGCTGAGCCCACAAAACCAAACCCGAGTGCTGCTTACTGAGTGCTCTGCCATAATTTCCCCCCCGTTCTGTACCAGATTGTGCCAGTTTTGCAGCCAGCCTGGCAGCCAGCTTTGCTGCACTGTGGTGGGGCTGCTGGAGTCCAGAGGCAATGCTCCTACCCCCAGCGCCTGGCCCACTGGCAGGCTCTGCTGTGGCTTCCAAGCATTGAAACATCCCCCTTCCGCATCTCATCCCGTGGTCTCCCAAAGTGTCTGGGAACATGAAAGCTTCCTGCTTCAGCTGCCGGCTCCTGCACTCCAGCTCTGCAGCAGCGGCTGCTGTGAGCAGGGAAAACAAATGAGATTCTGCAGCAGTCCCACACAAGTTTCCCCAGATCTCAAAGGGAATTGCGCCCGCAGAAGCCCAGCAGCAGCCAGCCTTTGAAATCCTATTTCAAACTTTTCCTTTCATCACCCCAGCAGCGGTAATTGTAGAAGCTCGTTCCCCCTCCTTCCCCAACAATGAGGGCAGAAAGCTCCTGCAGATTTCGGGCAGGCAGATCCCGCACCCCAGAGATGCCAGCTCCCAGATTTCCCCAGTAGTTCCCATTGCAGGGTATGAACAGAATGAAAAAAAGCCATTAGAGGAGCATCAGACTCTCCCAGAGATCGCCCCCTCCACCGATTACACTGCGCTCTTATTTCCATCTTTTCAAGAATTCAATTGCACGGATTATCTCGGCTGGATTCTGACATCTCCCTGCAGTATCAGCAATCCACAGCGCTCTGCGCTGAACTGGTACAGAGGAAAAAACCGAGCAGCACTGGCTAACCTATTTCCATTTCCCCAGACGGCTCCAACAGTAAACAAAGAGCATTATTCAGTTGAAAACAGAGATGTTTTCTAATTAAATCCATCTTAGTCCTTATGAAATGAAGTAAACGTAGCTGCTTTATAAAGAACTGCTTCAGCTTGGCCATTTCCTCTTAACATCTCTAGACCCTAATTTGCAACTGAATTCAGGCGAAGAGACCCCTGGCCCCACACGCAGCCACAAACGATTTCAGCCAGGCTTTGTGCCAGCTTAAAAGTCTTTCTGCATAAATCCAAATACAAAAAAAAACCCAAAACCCAAGGGCTTTGTCTTGTATCTCGATGCTTACGAGTATTAACAAAAAAATCCTCCACTGTAAGCCTCTTGGAGCAATGTTCTGTAAGAAACAGGATGTTCTAAGACACCTACCAGGTGTTTCACTCACGTAGCTGAGGTGCTTGGTAAAGCACCATGTGCACCATCCTACGTCTTCCCTTCCCAACTGCTGCCAAAACACTCCACGTCGGGCTTGACCAGCTACAGATTTTATTTAGGACTCTCCAGGGGTCCCTTCAGTGATTTCCCCGAGATGTGGACAGAGGGAAGAAGATGCCCCAGAAGCGGGCACACGGCGCACACACTGACTTGTTTCTGTCTGGGTGTAACTGCTTTTCTCCTCGCCGAGCCCTGAGAATCGCTGCTGGGCCTCGACCTCAATTTCCTGGTTTCTTATAGCCCATTTCAGCCACTTTGGATACCCAGACAGACGTGAGGTTAATCAAATCCAAGTGTCAAGCTTATGACACTCAGCTGCCAATTTAAACGTGCTCGTATCTCTACGGGAGCATGCAAAACGCCAGCAGAGGCTGCCAGCACCTTCACAATGACAGAGAGGGAGACTTGGATCTCCATTACACCGGGCATAAATCCAATTTGGGATGAACACTGACCTGCCCGTGACACAAACCTGTCCTAGTGGTAGCACGTTACAAGCTACGGGCAGATTTGTCTTAGAGACAAACCCTGGCAGCTAACTGTGAAAAACAAGAACTGAGCTGTTCAAAGCACCCAAGGGGTAACACTGAACTCTGCTACGCACAGGGCACGGGAACGTCAGGCACCCTCCAGCCTCAGCACGGGCTTCCAGGACAGGCAGAGCTTTTGCCCCAGCCCAGAAATCCCACAGTGGCTGCACTCAGGGAACCGAACACCAGTGAATTAAGAGCAATGACGATGCAACCAGACCACGCGCTCCGAGTGGCCGAGACAAATGGAACAGCAGAGCGAGTGCCACTTGAGGACCTGTTCTGAAATTTAATGCAGATGCTCAGTTAACAAGGATCCAGCCAAGGGAGAACTTAAATTTTAAGACTGCCCTGCCTCCCTTGTCTGCGGTCCCTTCTCAAACCCCAATCTACCTCTTCTTCCCATCACTGCCTGAGCCACCCAGGGCCCCCTCTGCCCTCCATGAGGTTCAACACAAACACAAACATGAGGAGAAGGCGGCAATGGGGATATTTCCACTTCAGGTACACCACATGGGGCACGTCCTGCTCTTCCTGAGGCCTTTGGAGTAACGTCTCAGCAGCCTCTGGCTTTTGGGAGCCACAGCACCCAGGCCCCACTCAGATGACGCTCCCTGTCCTTCACAGCTGGCCCAAACAACAAGAAAACCCCCAAAATATTCCCACCCTCCCCGAGGGGGTGAGCAGAAGTGGCCATTAACACAAACCCCTCTTTCTTTCCCATTTCAGCCCTCGCGGGTCACCCTGGCAGGGGACGCCCCTGTCCCCAGCAAAGCCCATTGCTCCCAGCTGCCGCCAAGGCCGGTGCTGGGCCCACTCGGCAGCCGGGGGCGGCCTCACGCCAATGAGGGTGCAGCAGAAGTGAGGACTTCA